TATATATATATATATGCAAGAAGCAGAGAGGAAATGCCCACGCACTGACGATATCTTCACAGGATGTGACGAAATGTTTACAGTCCAGCGGCCGATGAATAAGAACCAGCGATCAAAAAGCTCTCTCGGTCTACCCGTAATTGATGACGCTACCATATTATTGTGGTCAGGATAGACGGACGGACATCGGGTCTGTAGCCTAAAGAAAAGATAATAGGGCAGCTATGAAATCACTTGATACATAAGTCACAAGGTACAGTTGCTGCCTCTTCAAATGAACGAAAGCAGTCTTAAGCCACATATGTTAAGTGGGTACAACATAACATTTCAACTAAAAAGAACTGGGCCAGTTTTGATGCAGTTTGGATACCGAAAACCGGATATCGTAGGAAGAAAATTTGCGATCGAATCTGTGGAAGGATTTATAAACACCGAAATTTTACAAGCAGCAACAAGTCCCGTCCACTGACGCGTATCAGAACACAACACCTGTTGAGTTCCGTTTAAAGTCAGCTTGTGGTAAGTGGCATTTGATTAACTTGGTCGATGCTAGCTGGGGCAGCCAAACTGACCACTACTTGATTCATCTTGTAACCCTAGGCTTTACTGCAGGCCACCAAAGCTTTCACACACAAAAGAATGTTTTTTTTCAGTACCTTTCAGTATGTACCACATCTTTTGAACTATTCAAAGCACGTAATGCCTGTGGTTGCGCTTCACCCTAACCAGATCGAATACCAGTACGACCTTGTGATCCCGACAGAGAATTCAGGTGTTTGAGCGGCGAATGCGTAAGAGCTCAACGACGTTGTGACGGTCTAACTGACTGTCGCGATGGATCGGATGAGACTGCGTGTAGTAAGTCTTCTTCTTCGTGGTCGTCGTCCGTCCGTCCGTCCGTCCGTCCGTTCTTGTGCGTCTGTGTGCTTACTGCATGTACACCCAAGCGTGTGAGCAGAATAGGTGGATGCTGTGGTTGTGTTTGCATGACGGGCTGTGGTAGATTGCCAAATCTGTGTTGTCGAAAAACACTCAAAGCACGATGGTGAACTTTGCAGCGCTACAAATAAAGCAAAACGTTGGAGTCGCTCATCCGGATGAACTGTTTTGCATGTGCAAAAGGATGAGTGCCCACTCCGAAGGTCGGATATCTCCAAGAAGCGAACCGGATCCTCTTGTTCCTTTCACTAATGAGAATAGCCGTTTCAAATGATGCACCTGAAGTAATTGTGTTCTCACTAGCTTTCTAGAGAAATACTGACAGAAAGATTAGAATATTGACATTTCTGGAGATTCACTACAATCCCTTTCTTTCGTGTCCCAGTTTCTTGTCAATGTGTGCACGTGGCTCGTTTCCCGATTACTTAATTATTTCGCTTTCAGTGAGGCATGGATATAGACTACGTCCTGACGTGATGATCCTTGTAAACTATCTGCCGCTTTCCTCAATTGCCCCCCCCCCAAAAGAGAACATATCTAGCCAGAAAGGTTCACGCTAATTGTCTCCTCGTTTCTAGCTTGTGTAAAATGCTTCACAAGACTAAACCGATCTGTGTAATCAATGCATAGGTTCACGATCACGGCAATTGTATCCTCAAGTTGGACAGCAAGAACTCTCATCGTTCAGTGCGTAATTTCGTTCTGTTGAAGTACAATCAGACAGTGGATAATACAGACACCTCTGAGATTTGTAGCCCTGCTTACCAACCAGCAGGATTCATTTCCTAATCCGTCAGGAGTGTACCAAGTTCGAAATTTCAAAACTCACTATGGATCGACTCTTGAAAAAGCCGCTTTACGTTGACACTACAGCTGCACAAAACTGAAACCGAAAAAAGGCTATTGTGCATTAGAAAGCTGAGGTAAACCCCGAACAATAAACTAACTCTTTCGAATGATTCACTTTGTTTTATGCCAAGCTGTACGATGCGGTGCGGGAAAGTTCACTTGTGGTTCAGGCGAGTGTGTGAGTGCGACTCTCATATGCAACCGCCGTCGAGATTGTTCCGACGGGTCGGACGAAGAAGGATGCCGTAAGTCCTGGCACCACACGGACTAACACCAAGCATGTCACAGGTACTGTGCGCGCTTCTTCGTTTTGTTGCTTGCGAACATCTGCATGAGAAAGGTCGACTTCTGACACTTGAGTAGCATTAGACGGTGCCCTCTACATTATACAATCAAATTACTTCGCCCTAAGAAATTTTAACATTCCTTGTATGGTTAAATAGCACTTCGAAATCATCTCGGCCTCGTATTCATAGTGTACTTTCAGGCGTCCATTATTGCATGCGAACTACCAGCTTTTCAACAATCATCGTTTTCGGTGTACGCGAGGACTCTGCATAAGCAGGCCCCGTCACGCCAGACTGGATCGGCGCCTTCTGTCATTTTGGTGTAACTGATTTGCATTGCCTGATATACCACGCTGGGCATTTGAAATGCACTGACAAACTGGTTGCTCAACCTACGGTTCATGGTGTGGTGATTACATTACATCCTTGACTACAGAAAGAACTGATGAATGACTTTGCCAAACATTCATGCATCATCATCCACAAATTTAACTCTCACTGCCTGAACTACGTGTGCTTGGGGTTGTCGGTTGAAAGGCCGACTACACTGGTGTACAGAGAGCAGTATTATCAAACTAACATGGTGCGCTTCATTCCTCAGTTATGGGTCCAACAGGTCCCTGTCTTCAAAACCAGTTCCAGTGTGTAAGAACCGGTCAGTGCATTGACGCTCGAAAGCGTTGCGACGGTCATCCTGATTGCATAGACTTCTCCGACGAAAAAGATTGCGGTGAGTCATTTTGCATTTTAAATCTGCGAGTCCAGCATCCAAACTAATTTTTACGTAAAAATTTGTGAATGCGTCTGTGGATGAGGTCCTGTATCTCGAACCCGTTCTGGTAACTCTTTCTCAAGTAGTCCGGTCAGGTCAGTTTGGCTACGCCAACAAAACGGTTTTGGTGCAATATACTACTACTGCACCATCGTGTATTACTCATACGCAGGGTCCATTCTGGGCTAACCCACTTGAATACAATAATCTATTTGAAACTGTTCTTTCCCAGCTTGGTCAGCAGCTCTGGAGAGGTTTATACATGCTCCTTGAACACCCAGTGTACTGTGTGTAATCGTCTTGATAAGAGGTCAGCAGAAGACAGAGTGGGAAGCTTCTTTGACAGTGTTATGCAGTCTTTTGGGGCTTGAAATGTTTATTTGAGGTCATGGTCTACGGGGTGCACCAAGTCGATTCCAACCAATGGTTTCTTATCTGCTCACTTCGGGTTGTGGTACTCGGAAAAAACGTCCTACAGCTGGGTCGCCATCAAATTAGTTTTACTGGTTGAATGCAGCCAATGCTATTGGACAACGTCAACTTAACCAGCTGAGTACCGAATAAGATGGCAAAGTACGAAGATTTCGTCCGGTAAGTGAACCCGATCTCTCCCGGAAAGCTAAATAACTTGACACAGTGGTTTCCTCATTTGGATTCACCAGCAGTGGTGGTCTAAGAACCACGACCTTCCGGCTACTAGTTTGAATGCTCAACCGCTCGGCCAAGAGCGGCCTATCGGCCAATGTGATTAACGCGCATGAAGACAGGATATAGGGGAGCCACTCATCTTTCAACCACTTGTTGGCTAAGTTCTCGGGGAACGACTTCCTAATCGTCATGTGAAGCCTTCCTTCTTAGCTACTTATGGGTTGTTAGTAGTTTGAGATTTTGGAAATTCCAGTCTACGTTTTGTTCCGTAAGCGAAATTATAGCGAGGGAAAATCTGATCGCCACAAATCGCTTGATGCGATCTTAAACAGGATATAACGCCACAGATTGTGAGTTCGAGACTCAATGAATATTCGTGATGGCTTCAAACGAAGATGGAGGCAAATTCGTACGCAGGTGACAATATGTGCTGAGTTTCATTCAATTTGGGTTCAGCTACAACAGAAGGTAGGCGGATAGTTGAGGCATGCCGATCAGCTGATCAGCCCCAAGAGGTCGAAGGGTTTTTAGCAGCTTATGATTCGTGTGTTACGTATAAAGAACGAATATGCCTCATGAGGCATTCTGAAACGGTTTGTTTTCCCAAAATGTCTGTGGCTTTTCCAACAGGGTACAGAAAACGACTGTTTGTTCAATCTGAAATCCTTGAACTTGGTGTAACTCAAGAGCTGAGACACCCAAAAGGTCACGGCAAATGCCGAAATGAATTATATTCTACCGCAAGGTTTCGCGAGAAGCAGTTTGGCTTAAACAAACATTAGTCAACGTTCCACCGCTCTCTTCTTATCCACAGCAACGTCAAGCCCACTTAGTAATGGCACTTTACTCTGTATAAGGGGAAATGATCCGCTTGTTGAGCAAGTAGACGCGCATTAACAAACAAGGGGTTTGCGGATACTCTTGGGGGGTTACGTTGAGGATGTGCCCTACACAGTTTGCACTGTGTACAACGCACTCACAACGCATATGTGGATCGAACGCTTCGGACCGTAAGACGAAACAAGGCATTGTGGTTAGGGGATAATCAGAATAACATGTTTTTGTTCCCTTCTTCATACATTCCAGCGGAACGTCCATGCGGTCCCAATGAGTTCCGATGTACCGTGTCTGGTCAGTGTATTGACTCTCGAAAGCGCTGTGATGGTCGACCGGATTGTTCAGACAGGACCGATGAGTACGGTTGCCGTAAGTCACTTTTGAGTGCGAACTGAAAATGCCTTGAAACGTAGATACGATTGTAGATTGTTTCGCTTTCGAAATGGGACACGCCATTCACAAAACCACTTCGCGTATTCATTTGAGAACAACTTACAAAATAAATGCTGAAACCCCTCAAGAGGTGTCGCGCAGGATGAAAGTACTCAATGTTCCTTCCTTGGTGATCTGCTGTTGTGCGGAGGTCATTCCTTTCCGCATAACAGAGCTGGCTGCAACCTGTTAATAACACAGTAGTGCTATGTTAGAGCTAATTCAGTTTTAACTATTTCATGTCATCATTAAACTGATACAGTTCTTCACCTAACCACATGGCGAGTGTAATTGCTTTCTTTCATGGGTCCATTGACCCAACTCGGAATTCCGAGAATTGGTAACCCTTAGAAAGCTCTAAACTGATACAGTTCTTCACCTAACCACAGGGCGAGTGTAATTGCTTCCTTTCAGGGGTCCATTGACGCAACTCGGAATTCCGAGACTTGGTAACCTTTAGAAAGCTTAAAACACCAGCGTCAGAGTTTGATGCATTCACTTCTCGTTACTAGAATTCTATTTCTCCGGTACTTTTTGATGTGAACAGTGAAACCCTTGACTCACTACAAGTGCTGTTTCAGTCGAGCTCAATCAGACTCGATGAAGCCAATTGCACCTTACGAAACTTACAAGATCCATACGATTTGGAAACACAAGTAAATATCTGAAAATAATCTCCCAGGAAGGGACGAAATCTCACGTCGCATGACCTTTCCATTGTGAAAAGTCGTCGGTGAAACAGCCAGTCAGAAGCTGACCATATAATGAGAATAGCGTGACTGAAAGATGACTGACACCACGTGCGGACTGATCACACCACTGTCCAGCTGCTAATCGGAAGGTTACGAGTTCGTATCGCTTTAGAGATTCGTGAAGTATGCACTAATGATATTTCTCCCCAAGGGTGAAACGGCTGATAAGTGCCTTTCAAAATAGACAGACTTTAATTGAAATAAGACACCCAAGTATGAATACATTGTCTCAAAATTATTTGGAAAAGATTTAAATCACGCCCGGGAAATCACCTCTATTAGGTAATACATGGATAGTACCCAGATGATTAAACGACATGGGGTTATACAAGACCACAGAGCCGGCGAACGCTAACCCTAGCCAGACTGCTACCAGTCAGAAATACTGGAACTTTGGAGATTTATCTATAGATAGTCGTTGTACAATGTTTTCTACAGCCCAGCGAGGATCCTCATTCCAGACACCTTGTCCAAAACAAAGCGACACCCTATTTTATCGCTACTGTCAAGGTGTGCTGCATACTGGTATCTACCGACCCTCTGACGCACAAAAAATGTAGGGTTTATGATAGGCTACATCGTGAAACGCTTACGTCATCAGAGACAATCTGTCTCAATAGCAAAATCAACATACTCCGCTCTTATGTGAAAAGTAATCAACGCATCGCACAACGAGGAAGATGAATCTCAGTCACACTCCCCACAATATCAACAGTAGTTTACTTATTTAGGTTAAAGAGGCCTATTCCTGAAGGGCTCCTAGGGCTGTTTGTTTCCACTGAGTGAGGAGTGCAGTGCCGGAAAAAAAAACGACGCACTGGGTAGCATTTTCAGTCGAAGAATATTCTAAGCGAATCATTTGTTGTGTCGCCGTGCATGTGGCCTGGATGAGCTTGGAAACAGCCCAGATGCTTTCGAGTCATCTGCATGTGGATGGCTGCGTATAGGACCGGGCAGTGAGATGGTGATGGTGCTCTAATGCACGATGCGGCCGAACGGACCTGCTGCGTTCGACGCGCATGCTCTTTTCGTTTTCACTGATCAGCCTTGTGCGTGCGTCGTGCGTCGTGCATGCGTGCGGCATGCTCTTTTCGTTTTCACTGATCAGCCGTGTGCGTGCGTGCACGAAGGGCTGATTGGTAGCCTGCGTGATTCGAAGAATTATCTGGCCTATCTATCTATCTGTTATCTGGTTTATGAGTCCTCGTCATCACATGGCTGTACACATTTCTGACTGGGCACATCTTTGGTGCGTTCGGGTATGGCGGTTGAATGTGGTGTGCATCATTTCGTGTCGAATGATCTGATCACATTCTGGCCGTGGTACAATCGGAGTTGGCTCGGTTCGGTTCGGTTCGGGGTAACTATGTGCATGAGACTGGCTCATCAGGACTGCGATAGAGCCGACTCCTCCGATTTCTGCTTCCCTCATCTGCGTTTCGTCCAAATCTGATCCACTCGCCTTTGCTTGTTCATCGGACCGTTTGTACGAGGCGCTGATGGTTGATTTTCTTGTGGATGTTCAGTCAGTCAGCCATTCGGTTGTGCGGGGCTTCACTCACACCGAATGAATGTGTGGATGATGACTTTGATGGTTATGTTGCGCGTGCTTCTCCTGTATCCCGTTCCCCGTTCCCCGTTCACTGTGTTTTGTATCCTGTATCCTGTGTCCTGCCTCCTGTGTCCCAGAGTTGAGACCATGTGGTCCGCACGAGTTCCGTTGTGTGCAAACTGGTCAGTGCATCGACTCTCGGAAACGTTGTGACGGTCGACCAGATTGTCCCGATCGATCCGACGAGTTTGACTGTGGTGAGTTCTCGCGTTGATCAGTCAGTTGCACTCTTGTTGACTTCTCCGTGTGTTCGTTTCGTGGTCGGTGCATAGCTGAGTGTCCGAACGAGAATAAAGAATGTGGTGCAACTGGTGGGAAACTGGTCTGTTCTGGTGAAGTTTTGTGCTCACTGAGATTTTAAGGCTTGCTTCGTTCGGCTACCTGCAAATCACTTCATGGTTACAGATACCGTCGTTTACTTTCACGTCTTCTAATGAGCTTTTGTGCCAGATGCAGATAGTGGTCGAATGTGCGAAGCAATTGCTGTTATAATTTTTCTTTGAACGAATTCTACATCCTCCATCTTCCGCCGGCCCATCATGTGATACTCTGGGGCCATTCGCTCTTGAATCATCGTGTTCTGATCTGTGGTATGATTTCGTGCACAATCGCTTGTGCTCCTGATGATGATGTTCTCTGTCATCATATCAGCACCCTCATTGTTGACTCTGACACTTGACTGTCGTTTAACCATAAAGCACATCTACTTATATTTTAAGCCTTAGAGCAAAAGAAAGACACACAGTAGTCCTGGCCTATCGCAAGCATTCTGAGGTGCCTACATCTCCAAGAGCTCAGTCGGACTATGTGGGAGGAAACTGACTGTACAAACGTCCCAATGAATTCAGTCGACTGCCACTGCTTGCAATGTCTCCAGTTGAGCGCCTGAGGTCTCATGAGGATGCCATTCTAAAAAGGCGTACTGCACCAGCAATACCCAGACTCTTCGTAATCTCTCCCAAACACTTCTGCCAATTCGGAAGTTTTCTACTTCGTGATTCGTGCCAATCGGAAGGAGGAGCGGTGAACAAGATTCCTCGCAGAAGACGGTGTTTTGGCATACGTAGCAAACAGGCGAGCCACCACAGTCGCAGTTAATGTATATTTTCCGCGATTAAATCACCTGCTGCACAACCAAATACGCACTTCTAATTACCTCCTTACGGGTTCGTTGACGCCATGTGACACCAGGAACGCTACTTAATCGTCGGTGCTGAAAGGCCTATATACGCCTCACATTGTCTGCCCGCTGATATACACTTTGACACACACTTTGACAGCAACATCAGTGTTAGCACTGATACTTAACTGCCGTACTCACTTCGACACTCCTAACGCTGAGGGGATTCCGCGTTGCTAGTTCACCATGCTGTTTAAAGTCGGCAGTCCACATAGGAGGTAGCATTTGGCCAACTGATTTCTTGTTCGAAATATTGTTCCTCATGATTCCATTTTGCTGGATTTCAGAGAGTCATTTTGGTTCCTGACAGTGTCATTGCCCAGTCCCTTCTGCAGGCCGATCCTTGTTAGGTATTGCAATGTCTGTAGTGATTGCTTGTGAACGATAATCAGGTAGCCTACACGGTCTGGCGACGTCGCTGCCACTAGACTCGATTTCCAACAAGTTGGGCTGAATGTTTCAGTGTTGAGTGGTTGGATGGTTAGGAGAGACAAGAATGTGGGTTAGGAATTGTGGATCTCCTAAGTCACCCTGTCCAACCGGTGTGTATCACAACGCGCGTTACCCTCCCTTGTTGGCCTCTAAATTTGCCAGAGCCACGCTGTCGTCCCGGTCAGTTCGCCTGTTCGTCGGGCGAGTGCTTGGATGCGCGACTCGTGTGCAATGGTCGTGCGGATTGCTCGGATGGATCGGATGAGAGGAACTGCGGTAAGTATTCGTTGGGATTGGTGACCATGTGTTGCAGTGTTGTTGTGCTGCCGTGCAAATGGCTTGGTGAGCCTGGAAACAGCCGAGAGGGTTTCGAGTCATCTGCATGTGGATGGCTGCGTATAGGGTGGTGTTGATGTGTTGGCAGTGAGAACAATGATGGCATTCTGATGCACGATGCTGCCGAACTGGTCTGCTGCGTTCGATGCGCATGCGCCTTTCGTTTACGCTGACCAGTGGCGTGCGTGTGTGCGTGCGCGGGTGCGCACGAACGTGGGTACGTGCGAGCGTGCGTGCGTAGTGCGTGCGCGAGTGGATCATTGATCCCGTGTGTGATTCGAAGATTTATCTGGCTGGTTGCTTATGCGTCCTTGTCAGCGCATGGCTGTACAGAATAGTTCAGTGTGACTGGACACATCTGTGTTAGTTTCTAGTATGGCCGTCGAACGTGGTGTGCATTATTTCGTGTCGAATCATCTTATCTCATTTTAGCTGTGCTACAATCGGATTCACCTCTGTTCGGTTCGCCTCTTTGTGGTTCTTTGTGCATGAGATTGTCTGGACAGGACAGCGATAGAGCCAACTACTCCGATTTATGCTTCACTTATCTGGGTTTCGTTCATTCTAGTTCTGATCCACTCGTTTTTTGCTTATTCAACGGACCGTTTGTGCGAGGCGCTACTGGTTTCTTTTCTTTTCTCCGCTTAGTCAGTCAGCCGTTCGGTTGTGCGGTGCTTAACTGACACCGAGTGTTGATTATTTTGATGGTTATGATGCGTGTGCTTTTCCTGTTTCCCTTCTTCGTTCCCCGTTTCCTGTATTGTGTATCCCGCATCCCGTATGCTGTATCCTGTTTTCTGTCCCCGAAGTCCCAGAGGTGAGACTATGTGGTCCGCACGAGTTCCGTTGTGTGCAAACTGGTCAGTGCATCGACTCTCGAAAACGTTGTGACGGTCGACCAGATTGTCCTGATCGGTCCGACGAGTTTGACTGTGGTGAGTTCTCGCGTTGATCAGTCAGTTGCATTCTTGTTGACTTCTCCGTGTGTTCGTTTCGTGGTCGGTGCATAGCTGAGTGTCCGAACGAGAATAAAGAATGTGGTGCAACTAGTGGGAAACTGGTCTGTTCTGGTGAAGTTCTGTGCTCATTGAGATTTTAAGGCTTCCTTCGTTTGGCCACCTGCGAATAGTTTTGCATCTCTTCATGTTTGCGGATACCTTCGTTCATTCTCACGTTTTCTCATGAACTTTGCGTGTTAGATGCAAATGTGTGCTAAGGAGTTTTGGTGTACAGATTTCCCTGTGGCAGTCTGGATTGAACTGGCCTTCGTGGGACGACTTGATTAACGTTTTCTCATGAACTTTGCGTGTTAGATCCAGATGTGTCGTTAGGAATTGTCGAGTACTGCTTTGCCTGTGGTAATCTGGAATGAGCTGGTCCTCGTGGGATGACTTGATTGACACTATCTTATGGGAATAATTCTGCGTCCACAAGCGCATCGAGGAATTATTTTTTTGTTTGTACATATCTGATTGCATGTGTTTTGCTACCATAAACTCCTGGTGACTGCTCCGGACGTCTTTTCGCCAAAGTTGCTGGTACAAATCCAGGATGCGTGGCAGCATGAATTCTAACCTTAGACTATATGTTTTAAGTGTCGTTGCTTCACTCGATGGGCTAAAACTTGCGTTTATGATATCTTCGGTTGAGAAATGATTTCCGCGTCGTCGAGTACACGTGAACCGGGTTCAACTTTTCTATCTATCGCTGATTTACTCGTCCTGTGATATTCTGTGACCGTCTTCACGTTAAGTCTCTTGTCCTGATCTGTGGTGCGCTGTCGCTTGTGCTGTGGCCGGCACAGACGTACATGAGGCGCAGTCCCTGCGTGCACCAATCAGACGTGAAACTGCATCGGATAAACCGGAGGTTGTTGTTAGTTTCCATTCTGCAGTCACCATCTTATGCGGATTCCAGTATGGCTCATTGGTGAAAACGATTGGTTGGGTGGAACGGAATATCCAGTTCAGATGCGACACGGCAAGAGGGATGTTGTGTTTTCTCAGTTAGAACCGATGTTACGAATCATCCAATCTACCCGAATCTATGCAATGACGTTCTTCTAAATCAGCCTATAGCCCCATTCAGATTAGATTGACGGTGAGTGGAGTGGCATTGCACACCAATGGTATAGATCGATGTAGAAACCGACCCAACGACCAAGTTCCCGTACCGTTTTCGGATGCACCGATGGATCCGACGGTGTGTGTGAGGGTTACAAAAGCAACAATGATGTGAGAATTCTTCCAATTGTCGTGCAATCCTGCTGACATTGTTTTGGACAATTCTGTTCAGTGTGCCCGAACTAACCCCGAAACTTAATGCATTTGTCGAAGACAGCATGTTACGTGTGTAGCGAATATACCTCCTCTGGTAGTTTTTATTCGTTAAACGTGATTGTATGCACGATAAATTGGGCGACTGAATGGGCGGAAGCCTCTGTGGGTCCGTGTTGTAATGTGGGTGGCCGTCTATTGGTTAAGACTGCGCTGAGCCTACCAGCCTACGCGATGAGGAGAAGACAGAGAACTTGGGACACGGCTGTATTGTCAGGACAAAACATTCAGAGTTTCTGCGCAAATATACAGAATGACCAAATGGCCAAATATGGTCGTTCACTTGTTCGTTCTGTACAGCCAATGGTGGTGTTCCGCTCGTGAACACTTCTAGCCCCACTCTTCTGGTCTTATGTTACTAAGCCGTGTTTGGTGAGCTCCGCCAACTCACCTGCTTTCCGAACGTTTCGTACCGTTTCGTGACCTTGGGAATGCGTCATTCTCTTCACACGTACTTTTTCCATGTCTGGGGCGCCCTGACAGTCCGGATCTCGAAAACTGTGTCTTCAATTGGAACGATTGCAAGCGATGAGTTAGGCGCACTAAGCTACACCCAATTCCTCCACAGTCAACTGCGAATTTAGTAAGCAAGTTTACGGAAAGTGCCTTGTGTACTGAGCAAAGCTAGCTGCCGACCAACAATGAACCCAAATAGCCCACACAAATTCACCCGTGAGCGACGGGTTTGACGGCTGAATCGGACTGTTATTCGTTTGTGGATTAATATTTGTCCACCTGGAATAATCGCGTCGAGTGATTAGAACGGATGTTTGAATGAAGTATCGTGCTCCAGTTTCTGCTCATCGGATTCTGACAATGTACGAGTGAGTAACAAGCCCAGTTAGATACGAGTTGATTGACTAAATCAAGGTGTGCGTTATCTGAAGTTGGCTGTTTCAACCGCCGTAATCAGAACTTCTCGGTCGGTGTTCGGCTGTTTGTTGTCCCTCGTGGTTCGTTCAGGTTGAACGTATCATCTGGGGAAAAAAATCCCTGTGGATCGAGCCTTCAGGATTATGGATTCCGATAGCTACAGCTACCGCTTCAGTCAACGTCTGTGCTCTTCGCAGTGTTGGTACGTTTGGGCTCAAAGCGTGAGTTTCCACAGGTGATGTCTTCGGATACAGTATTCCTGGGGCAGGACACGCTAGACTGAGACTTATGTTTGGATAGTGTTCATATTGCTGGCCTGGGACAACTTGTCAACAGGGTGACTATGTCGGTGATTCGCTACGGCTGTGTTCGGTGACTCGATCGTGCAGCTGGCCACGATTCCAATGGTCATACCGCTGCGATGAGCTTCCATTGATTTATTTGTAATCTTATGCACGAAACAGCCGCCGGGTGTGGATTTAACGGTGGATGGATTCTCTTTACGTTGTTCTTGTTAGATATTGCAGTGTTGGAAGTGATTGCGTGCAAATGATAATGAGGTAGTCTGCACGGTCTGGCGACATCGCTGCCACTAGACTCGACTTCCAGCAAGCTGGCCTGAATTTTTCAGTGTGGGTTGGTTGGATGGTTAGGAGAGACAAGATTTTGGGTTAGGACTTGTGGATCTTCCGGGTCACCTTGCCAATCGGTGGGTATCACAACGCGCGTTACCCTCCCTTGTTGGCCTCTAAATTTGCCAGAGCCACGCTGTCGTCCCGGTCAGTTCGCCTGTTCGTCGGGCGAGTGCTTGGATGCGCGACTCGTGTGCAATGGTCGTGCGGATTGCTCGGATGGATCGGATGAGAGGAACTGCGGTAAGTATTCGTTGGGATTGGTGACTATGTGGTGCAGTGTGGTTGTGTCGCCGTGAATGTGGATGGCTTTTTACTGGACGCGGCAGTCAGAACGGCGACGTTATGGTGTTCTGGTGCACGGTGCTGCCGAACTGGCCTGCTGCGTTCGACGCGAATGCGCTTTTCGTTTTCGCTTATCAGCCGTGTGCATACATGTTTGCGTGCGTGCATGCATGCGTGCGCGAGTAGCTGATTGGTCGCCTGCGTGATTCGAAGAATCATCTGGCCAGTTGCTTATGAGTCCTCATCAGCGCATGGATGTACACATTTATGAGACCAAATCAGAGCAACTTGGGACATCTTTGGAGCGTTCGGGTTTGGCGGTTGAATGTGGTGTGCATCATTTCGTGTCGAATGATCTGGTCTCATTTTGGTTGTGGTGCAATCGGTGTCGGCTCGGCTCGGTTCGGTCCGGTTCGGCGTCGACTTGTGTGAATGAGGTTGGCTGATCAGGACTACGATAGACCTAACTCCTCCGATTTCTGCTTCCCTCATCTGCGTTTCCTCCATTCTAGTTCTGATCCACTCGTTTTTGCTTCTTTATCGAACCTTTTGTGCGACGCGCTGTTGGTTAATTTTCTTTAGGCTGCTCAGTCAGTCATCCGTTCGGTTGTATGTTGCTTCACTCACTCGGAATAGATGTGTCAATAATGATTTTGATGAGTAAGGCGCGTGTGCTTTTCCTGCTTCCCGTTCCCCGTGCCCTGTGTTCTGTATCTCGTATCCTGTATTCTGTTTTCTGTCCCCGAAGTCCCAGAGTTGAGACTATGTGGTCCGCACGAGTTCCGTTGTGTGCAAACTGGTCAGTGCATCGACTCTCGAAAACGTTGTGACGGTCGACCAGATTGTCCTGATCGGTCCGACGAGTTTGACTGTGGTGAGTTCTGGATTTTTGTGTGGCAGGGTTTTGTTTTCCTCCTTGTTTTTCGTTATTGATCTGGGGTATTGGTAATCTTTCTTTATTTTATTTTTTTGCCGTTCATTTGTTACTCTGATGGCGAACTGTTTGTGCTTTCTCCTTTGGTTATTTTCGTGCACTCACGTATTTTTTCCTGTTTGTTCTTAGTGTCTTTTCCCATTTTCCATCGTTCATGTTTTTTTTTACATTTTTCCTACAATACTGTCAACACTTCATAGCCCGGTTTGCCGAAATTCTTTTCTTCCTTCGTAACCGTTTTCCTTCCTTGTTTTCCGTGAACGAATCATTTGGATGTGTTTCTAACTAATTTTGTTGATTCCGATGTAATTTCCCTCAAATTTGTCGAATCTCTTTGTACTACCGAAAACCTAGGAGTAGCTAGGTGGATGAACGATTCTTATCGGATTAGTAAGTCTTCCATCTGACAACTCGTTGCCGGAGGAGCTAGACAACACACATGGCCACATGATTTGATTATGAGTGGCGCTGTAGCCTGTCTAAGCGCGACTTAAGAAAACTGCTGACAATGTGCTCGTGGCCTAACGGTCAGGTTTCAAAGTAATAATCAGGAGGTCGTTCGACAGCATAGCCTGTCTAAGCGCGACTTAAGAAAACTGCTGACAATGTGCTCGTGGCCTAACGGTCAGGTTTCAAAGTAATAATCAGGAGGTCGCGGGTTCGACAGCCCGTGAAGTTCCTTCAAACATGCACTGCTGATTTCTACCAGTTTTTCAGTGCTCCTTGGTTTTCCCGCGTGGATGGGCAAATTTTCGGTACCTAGCTCCCATTCATCGAGATATTGTCAGATTATCCAAGCCTGAACGAATGCTTTTAACATGTTTAATTTTGTTTCGAAGCCATAAACCTTCCAGTCAGTAGGGTCGGTCCTTCCTAACCACTGAGCTACCTCAAGTTTATTTTCACAACCAGTAATCCCGTGCTAGTCGTGCTTTGAAAACCACATCAAAATGGAGCGTTTTCATACTACTGAATAACGAATGGCCAAATCAGCGTACCCACCCAAACTATCCTTGGAATCTTAAAGGTTATGGTCATTAAGCGGAGTGTTGTGAGTGGCTTTCAAACTTCTGATTGGTCGATGCAATCGCCGCTATTTGACTGTGGGATACCGGAACCGATGTATGATTCAAAATATTCGTAAAGTGTCACTTGAGCTCGACGAGCCAGAGGCGGTCAAACAATGACTTGGCAGCGAGGTGTGAAAGCCATTATCAGCAAACTCAGCTGTGCTGGTCACTGCCGTCTTCCTGGATGGGGACCCCGAGACGGGCCACATCAATGGCTAGAGACATTATCAGACATGGCCAAGTCGCGCCCTCAATGGCGCTCGTACATCAAAGTTATTGCCTTCAATGCATAGCTGCTTTTCCAACCCCCCCCCGACAATGATGATGATGATGATGACTTGAGCTTGACTTGCCGCTATTGTTTACAGGACGTGAGGCGAAATCCCCGACATATGTTGAATTTATCCGGTGACCAACTGTTCAACTTTGATTTCGTTTGGCAAAAAACTGTTCCAGGTTGCCTTTCGCGAGACAGATCGATACAGTTATGATTTCTTGATGAAAATTTCGAGGTTTTCGTGAACGCTTTGCATCACTTTTTGTTTCCGTCATTTGTAGAACACCATCGTTCATTTTATGAGACGACTTTTGTTCCCTTATTCGATTGCTTCTGTCTGAAACCCCTTGGGCTATGCATTCTACTCACACTTTGTTGTTTTCCCCACTTCCATAGCATATGGTCCCATACTCATTCCTGAACGACCTATTGTTCGACCTTATGAGAGTATTCAACTCGAATGTCGGTCGACCCGCCCTGGAGTTAGTGTTCGAATGACACTGGCGAACGGGACAGACGTAGAGCTGTTACCACGATTCACGGTTAGGAAGCCAAGTCCCGATGTTATTTTAGCCACACTGACTGCGGTGACTGAAAAGGATCGAAATCTGACAATCAGGTAGGTGTCCTCTTGATCACCGTTCAAGCTTACTAGAGGTAGGCGAATAGCCTATCGTGCACATGAAGCATGCCAATTTTTAGACACTAGCACAAAGCACATTGTTTTTCTAGCCTGCTAAATGCTGAGCGGTTGACGGAAGTTCACTCAGAAGAATGAACCCCGAGAAAATACTACTTTTGATTGGTTCCTTGAGATGGTCTTTCTAGAGAGTGGGTTTATGTTACATCTGACTGTTTCCTGAGATGAAAATCTAGTCTGAAAATCTAGTCTCGGAACTTCTTCTCTGTGGTAGCTGCTTCGGTGTGTTAGGCCGTTTGCGCGTGTGCGTGTCCGTCCCTCGCTCCAACATCGATCTGGCGTGTGATTGAGTGGCTGATTGGGTGCGTGTCCAATTGATTTGCTCGCGTGACTGGGTTGTGTGTTGACTGGACACGTGACTCAGTTGTTTGCTGGCCCGCCTCGAAAGTGAACCAAGTTGGGCGCGTTTACACAACACACCCGCGTCATTACTTACGTGTTTTTCTGACTCACTGTCCCCAATTCAGCAGGGCTGATCAATAGGTGGTCTATTCTATGAACGAATGTCTCGCCGTTTGGATAGCTGTAAAAACTACGGCAGCGTGGCATCGGCGTTGAACGCCGAAGTCATGCTGTCGATGAGGAAGATGGTGAATACTTGTGAGTGTAGGCAGCGTTTGTTCGAAACGCCCTAAGGATGCCCTTCTACAAGGACATCTACATAAGACACTTGCGGCCCCCGAACAGCAGATCTTTGAAGTGGTGCGCCAGATGAAAAAAACGTCCGGATAAACCCGCAGACATTTTGCCACAACCGCCTCGTGTAATTCTAGTGAGTGACTGGCCAATTCATGAACTCCCCCTTTGTACAGCTAATATAAGGTACAACCCTCCAGATGGGGGTCGTCTTACATGTTGAAATCCTGAGGTGTCTACCTACACGAGACAACTCCTAGGCATATAAGCCATCCAGCACGCCTATGTTTAGTCCGTAGAATGATAAAATCTCTCTGAAGTTGTGTGTTGAAGGAACGTTTGATGCAGCCCATACACACTGAAATAATGCGGCTCTTTTGGCTAAGCTTTTTTGCGATCCAAAGAGGTCCTTGATATAATATCCAGTCAAACACTAGTTCATGGATTAGTTAGGTAGTAGTCCTTCCTTTAGGATCGATGACTGGTTTACTGAAAAATTTGTCAGTTCACAGTGATCAGGTTACTCCGACACGTGAACAACCTGAAAACGGTGCCTTTCTATGGACCTCGTCGACTGGAGAATATGTTACACACAGGTGTCTTTCAGTTAGAATGGTGTTCCCGAGAAGGGCGAAACCGATGGTTGATTTTCGAGGACTTAAGTTTAGAGAAATTATTTTTGACAAAACAAACCAATTAACCCAGGTAAAACCATGAAATCTGTGATGCGGCACAGTTCGAAGGACACAGTAACGTAACGAAATTGGTGTCAGTCGTCAGGGCGACCATTTCTGATAAGGAGCTCTTTTAACATCCAGTAAAGCGACAACGACGAGGTCTTCTTGATCTGCTTGTGCTGACCACCAGTTCCATATATTGCAACACAAAACTCATCGTGTCTTCATTGAAATGGTGTGGCAGTACACATTCCCCAGGTTTTATTCTCTTTTAATGTACTGGGCTTCACTCGTCGGCAGGTGCACTTATTCAACTGGTGAGAGTTCACAAACACAGATCAACGTCACTTCGCCATGCTCGCGATACGAGAGAATGTGCCGATCCGGTCAGTGTCTACCTGAAAACTTGTTCTGCGACGGTCGCCCAGACTGCCCTGATGGTTCCGATGAAGTGTATCCGCAATGTGGTGAGTTTTCGTTAGCTGTAAGTATGCCAATCTTTGTCCCATCGTGAAAGCCACGAAATTCATTGGACAATGTAGACATGTACAGCAGATCTGGCCGTCGGCCGTTCTCCACAAATATGTTGCTCACCAAACTCTCGAATTGGTCTCTTTTAATTTTGACAATTGCATTTCGCTAAAAGCTCTCACTTTACAAATAATCTCTTTTGAGTAATGGCTTAGTGTGTTAGCATGGAAACGACGGGTTATCAGAATAAAACACCTTTGTTAGTAGTGTAGCGAAATTTGAGAATTTTCAGTTGAGACTTCATCTTGTAAGTAAAACCAGTCCATAGTGAAAAGCCGATAAGCCCCATATAGTTGTTTCACTCTTATTGGGAATCAATATTATCTCATGAGACTTCAGCAAGTTTCGGACCTGCAACCTCCTGGCTAGTAGTCTGAAGATTTGGCCGTTCGGTTACGAGCAGATAATCATCAGCAAGCTTAACTGGCACGTAGACAGGACACAGCGTCACTCATCTTCCAATTACGAGAGCCAAAGCACGTGATCACTGACTCCTGGAGTGATTGATGACTCCTCAGGCGAAAGTTTCACTCGTCTTGTGAAATCATTATTCCTCTGAACTACTTCGACCGTTGTAACGGCTTTGATATGATCGTCTTCTTGGAAAGATTTCAACTGTACCACTCACACCATCCTATTCGCCATCGCAAAGATGCCTGTAGATGGTGAAACTCCGTAATCGAACGGGCGACTCGGACGATACTTCTTTTTTGCAAAACAGTAAACTGCAACTCTGAACACTAAAATTTCGCCATTACCAGCTTACTAGACCGTAACCATTGGTAGAACCACGATTTTATCCAACCTTTGTTCGTAATTCCAGTATTTCACGCATTCCTATCTCCCGGTGCTCTTTAGACCAGTTGTTCTCACGTGCAGTTGTGTAGTTGCCTATGTAGTGTCAAATCCACGGTGTTTTGTTTTTCTGTTTCACGGGAATAAATCTCCGGTAGCTGATTTGGCAGTTGGGAAGACGGAAGCGGATATCTTCAGTTTTACCGTGACTGTCTTCTAAGAATCAACAGGAAAATAACGTCAGCAACCTAATCTCTTCAGTTATTGTTTTTTCTCACACAAATCAAGTGTTTTACGAATTCGAATTTGCCACGGCAACCTACGGAACAGAGGAATCACCTCAGGTTTGGAATACCGGTTTGGACTACTCGTTCGGCCGCGAGAGTTCGACAGCCCGTCACACAGATGTCCTCGTATGACAGTTTAGAAATGAAGCCATGAAACATACCGTTTAAAAAATTCTAACTATACAAGCACAAATATAAATAGCCCTTTAAAATCCAATACAAGACAAAGTAACACAACCGTTATACATTGCAGAAAAGGTGAGAAAATAAAATAAAATAAAATAATAGAAATAAAATAATAAGTTACTGTGGGCACAAGAACAGACACAATGCCGTCAACGGACCTTCGAAATGGGGACAGGCATATCCACATAAAAAGGTACTTGACGAAAGGCTGTGAAGAGTATCAAACGCTGGCGAAATACGCTCATCTGCAAACAATTTGAGTTTTGCGGAAGACTCACCTGGAACCCAGCTGAATCTGTCGTTTATGTTGTGGGATCCAGGTCTCCCACGAAACCAAATTTGTTCGCAGATCAGCATATTTAGCTAATTTCGTGTAATTTGTGTTGAAGTAAAACATAAGGTTGACGAAAACTCAGGGACCGTGCCTACATGATGAGTCCCAAGAAGGGAGAAAGCGGTCGTGGGCTGTCGACGGATTTTCAGCAACCTTATGAGTAGTACATTACGAAGCTATACATGTATCGTGATATCTCAAATATCGTAGCGACTGAAACATGAGGCGGCCTGTTGCAGCACATTCAGTTGCCTGAAATCATCACGAACGAGAGATTCAGCTGGGTTTCAGGTGGATCTCTAAGCAACCTTATGAGTAGTACATTACAGAGATTGTAAAGTGTTTGTCGAAGTGAATTCCCGGAGGCCTAGAAGAAGTAGGGAATTAGTGCTGGACAAATGTTGTAGTTTCGCCCATGCAGGAAAACTGATTTCCGGCTGGCGTGTGAACGAGCCAACAGTAGGACAGGACATCATATAAGTGAGGGTTAATCACGCCGCCTAATGGTTGAATGTTCGAACATTGGTCTGGAGGTCATGGGTTCATGAACTGCACATTGTTGATGATCCCCAACAAGGATAAACCAGCTGTACAATGCTTATCGGCTCTCCAGCATAGATCAGCTTCACAGACAGGACGAAGTTTACTCTGACAATATTTTTTGTCAAATGAACGTATGACGTGTATAGAAACAGTCTTGGTCGATATATTTTGGCAGAGGCAAACCAATCATAGCAGGATTGGAATCCCTTATCATTTTAAACGGCGAACTGGCGTATGGGGCGCAGAATCCTTGGTCTTCACTCCATTGAGGGCGGTCTCTATGGACAAACGTACTTAAACTCATTCAAGAAAGCCGAACACGGTTGTTGAACATATTGCTTCGAAAAATGTAGAGTTCCAGCAGAGGAAAGTAAGGGAATACCTGGTCGACTTCCTGCCGCACGTGTGTGATTAGTTTACTGCTGGAATGAACTTGTGAGCAGCATTGAAGCTGGAGAGGCATGAGCGTAATAGAAGACAGCCCACGTAAAAATAAGATGAACAATGTATTACAAGGGAGTGTACGGATGAGAGGAAAAAGCGCGCAACTTATGTGGATTCCATCCATCTTCTGAATTAAGCAAAATGAAGTATCATCGTCGAGGTGAGTCTTCGTAACGCAAAGGACAGCTGACCAAGTTAAACTAGGGACTCAAGCCATGTAATAACGGNAAGCGACGGAATCTCGACTGAGTTTCTGGGTTTTTCTTAGTAGTTTTCAGCTGGATGTGGCCGCAAGATGCGACCGCGAGAGTCGTCCCTTCCGAGGAGGTGCGACAACACAAAGTCATGATAGAAGAAGTCAGAACAGACCCAATCGATCGTGAATGAGCATGTATGCGTAAATAGGTCAGTGCCACACACACACACACACTGTTGCATAACAGTGTCGGACGGGATGGCCTTCGTGGCAAAGTGCGGCTACCGAGGAGCAGAGACGGAATAGGCAGATGAATGGCGGAATTAGCATGATTCGATAGCACTCCTAAATCTATCAAACGTCACATGGGCTTGATTCATGGTCTCGCTCCTAGGAATCCTAGACAGGTGAAACATTGCGATCGTGTGACGCAAGGGAGTAACAGCAACCGTGAAGTCTATCACTGCCACCTTTGAAAGTCACAAGTGAAGTGGTTAGCGTGATTCAAGGGCAACATTATCGGAGTTTCGACCGGGCCTTTTCGCTGATGTTCGCTCACGTCGTCCTTCATACCTTAATAGGAACAGAAGAATGGGCAACTTCTCTCATTGTCTCGCCAGCATGTGCCATAGTACAACCACTTTCGTACGGTAACTATTCAAGTGACTGTTTGTCAGAATACCCTCAGCTAACTCATGAAAGGTCCATTAAAACTGTTTCATCTGTGACAACAGCTCCGTCAGCACTTTGCTGCACGAATCCTGAATCTGAGTGGTACTCACACAAACATCCGTTGCACCCACCACTTAATGTATTATCGATCAGATCGAAACGCGTCTTGTCTTAGGACTAGAATGAATGCTAGGAACGAAAGGCCAAATGGCATAAAACCTTTGCGCAGTGATAACTTTTGAAGAAACTTGTTTCTAGAGAAAGAACGGATAAAAAAGAGGCAAAGAAGGTAAACAGGGTTCTGTTCAGAACGAGGTTTTGCTTACCCCAAATAATCGTGGCTCTCTTCAGTTAAAAGTATGCTCACACGTAAAATAGCACGATAATTCGGTTGAATCCATAATTCCTTCATCCTGGAATCAGAATGTTCGGCCGTAAGCATGACATCTTCCGACCAGCTTTTTAACCTGGCAAATAAGCCGCTCCGTCGGCTTTCGTTCTTCGGGTCAAAGTCTGTGTAAGTGACCCCTCATTGAGAACGGAAGTTTGCGTTTGACAAACGATTCCATCCAACTGGAGTAAAAGAGTAGCTCTCGTCGGACAGTTTTTGCTAACTCATGTTGCTGGTGAGGTTACGAACCTATCTTACATCTTGTTGGTTGATCAGGTGGCCGTTGGTCTGTACACCGATCTTGGCAATTAGTTTGCAAATAGCTTGTCACCAGTCGAGGTGACGTCATCAGTGTGTGGTTTGGTTGTTTGAGTTGTTGTTTTCAAAGGCTTGCTGGTATCCATTGTGGTGATTGGCTAACGGGAACGCGTTATGCTCGAAATCACGTTAGTCCGCTTCAAGTTGTGTTGCGTTGTGGTCTGTATCCCTTGAATTCGATTTGTTCGTTGCGTAGTTTCGACACCTCGCCCTATCCCGAACAAAATGTTTTGCCCCACGCCACAGACCATACTTTTCATATGGTCCCGGTTTTGGGGCATTTCAGGCGTGTTAGCCACAGGGATTCGAAACTCGGACTGTGAAATAGTGAGTAAACCTCCTCATACTACTTATATCTAGAGATTTTCGGTCCGACGGAAGCGTGTAGACATTACAGATTACGGTCCACTGCACAATTGAACGCTGGAAATAGACTCACGTGTACACCATCTAATCCGATTACTTCTCCACATCTAGATGCATATTTCCTGGCGTCGGTAACCGTTCGGCCTTCGTCAGTGTCCACAGTCCTTGTCCTCGAGGCCAGTACCAGTGCTTGAGTGGTCAGTGTTTGGAGGCAAGCAAATTTTGCGATGGCATACCACATTGTGCTGACGGCTCTGATGAAACTGAACGATACTGTGGTAAGTCTAACCGAAGTGCCGTTCGTTTAGCCCATTTGGTTCTTTTTGTTCGCTCTGTTATGCCTCACGAAACCTCACGGTGGGTAACCCAGTCTGTTGGCAATACCTCTGTAATCGGATGCTAGAGCGCTACCATAAGGTTTTTTGTCACGAGCCGCGTCATAGTTCTCACCGGGAACAACTATGTGGCATCCACTGAAATCATCGTCCTATCCGTTATTTCAGAAAAAAATTGCAAGGCTTTTTACAAGCACTACCGGCTTTGCTGGTCAGTGACACATTACAGCCTGTGACTGGCAAGTCTCTCACTGGCCTACCAAAGCAACTTTGGACAGCACGTGACTGGGTTGATCTACTTTTCAATAATTTGTTTCACACTTGTTCTATACCCCAGGCCGATTGGTAACAATCGATAAGGGAAACCTAGGACGAGAACAAAATGTTGAATAGCCTTGTGGGAAGTTCTCATTTACAGTGTCGGGACATTCAGTACACTCTTAAAGGTTACCAATCACACAGATAATAGGAAAACGAGACCAAGTGACAGTATGTAGACTGATTTGAGGCTTTCACGTGGTTAGAGCTAACCCAGCAAGATTCATGAGCACTAAGCGTGGCCTTGAGAGATTGTAATTTACTATACTGGTCACAGTTGCCGGGCATTTCAAAGACAAAGCAAATACACATTGTTTTAATCTTGCCCTGTCAATGATACTTGTTTCCTTTGCCATAAAAATTTCCATCCGTGCAGGCTTTCTGGACCTCCCTTTGTTCATTTCCCGTGCCTCAATTTGATATTATCACAACAGGAAGGGTCTTGAGAGTTTCCGCATTTGTGTGTAGAACCAGCTTTGTTAATTTGTTGAGTGACCTCCAGGTACAGATCAAGTGGCTGTTGATCTGTTCGCCAAGCGTGGTAACAAGCAGCCACCTGATCTACGACCAATTAAGGCACCCAAGCCACCAATATTTTGACATATCGCCGTTCTCTTGGTACAAATTGACCCTTCTTGTCGCTACGATGAGAAAGTGAGGCCCGAATATGATTCTAGTTCAGAATAACTTTAAAAAAACAAGAGAATTCAGTAGCTTTGGTGTTCTTAGTAGTGATAGAGGATAGTTAGAAGCATGATCCCCAGGAAGCACTCTATACGGCACCGGACAAAAATTCACAGCATGAAAAACGATTGCCCTTGTCCTGTACGATGATTTGGACCAAAGTGCATTACACTTCCCAGCTGGGATATTCATGTTTCTGCGAATCCTACGTCCACTATGTCCGGACACGTGGTTGATGCAACCGATATGGTTGGTTCACATCGCTTCGCTGCATTACGCACCAGCTACAGTCATTAATTTAGTGCTTCCTCGATCTTGAAAACGGGTGAATACAGCAGTCGTTCCTGGATTTGGAAGACCAGACATACGCTAACGCTCTCGCAGCTGCTGAATGATACGAACCTACTACAATGCAAGCTATCGATAAAAGCGAAATACACGAACTAAGTTGAATCACCAGGGACGCAGCATTCTTTGACAACTCGGGTGCGGAGTCCATCCCAACCAAAGCACTTCTCTTGTACCAACCCTGGTCTTAATAACTCCCCGTTTGACAAGACCTATTGCTAATAGACAAATGCATCTACTAAGTCTACTGAATCCAATATCAGTAGTGTTTCTTAAAGAAAATATATCTCAAATATCCTACCAGATGAAAAACGAGGAAGCCCTGGAGCAGCACGTTCAGTCGAAGACGAATATCGTACAATAGAGATTCAGCTGAACCAACCGTTAAAACCAAATTGGTGTTCAAGAGAGACTATTTGCCGAATTCCATGCAATTCGGGTTCAAGAAGGTTAACGGAAACCCGGTAACTGCACCTGTCCACCGAGTCGCGAGGAAAGTGACTCGTCAACTCGATTGTTAAAGAATATTCAGCAAACTGACGAGTAATGTCCTTTCATTGAAGCTTATGTTATTCTGTAACTCGGTGGTCTCGGAACACTACCGCCTTTGTCCCTACCACAAAGGACCGTATGCCCATGACCATTGAAAATTTGAGTGCTGATCCACTTACTGAGCGTAGAAATCGGCTTACCAACGTTTCGCCACCAGTCAAGGCAAAATGACCACTGTCCACTTGTAACTGGTGAAGAAACATGTGTAAACGAAGAAAGACATTCGAGTCCTCAATGACAAACTGTGAATGCATCGGTATTCCGACCCATTTTTTCCGAGATCCTGTGGTTGGGAGCCGTCCGTTACACACTATGGTGTTTGTTTCCTTGTCTGTTTGTCCGTATGCAGACTCGTCTAAATTACGACGTTTAGCAACGATTTATTGATTAAGAACACCCTGGTTTCTACCATGGACTTTGAACGAAATTTACTTGGGTAACGAAAGTCAAATTAGCCGAGAAATTCCGTCCGAATGTGGGATTGCAGATGAGTTGTATCTCGGGCTAATTACTCCGGTGTTGATACCATGAAAAGGATGGTAGTCTAGTAAACATGAAATTACAGTGTCAGGTGGAATCCCGCACTGCTCACAATTAGGCCTAACCCGCATGCGATTGGCCGGAAGATCGTGTCACTTGCTTATCCAGCATCAAAGCAAGCTATGGTTGGCTGTAAGTGATGTCCCAACAGCCAATCGATATTCACTACCCATCACTTGCTGCTTGCCAATGCCGCGCCCAGAAGGCATCGGAATGTTGTCGTCTCATATCGTTTAAAGAAGACGAGCCTCAACATAATTCTGAATGTCTCATCCGCTTTGTGCACCAGTGATAGTTCTTTCGCCAAAACACCAGCTTGGACGGTCCAGACTGAGAAATCAGCTAGGTATTACTGCTATTCCATACACAAAAAACGTACCGTGGATAGACCCGAGTGGGAACGCTTGGGAACCATCAGAACAGTTCTGCATGAATTAAGTTCTCTCTCTATGCATTTTTGAGCTACACTCTTTTAGCA